GAATATGCGTCATAATGACAAATGACATCATAACGTCATCCTAACCCGTGGACAACATAACTCCAGCAAATCACCCGAAAAATTCGAAGCATTTGAAATGTGCGACTCACAGAAGGCCACGCCGCTTGCTCGCCACAATAATCATGACCCGTGTAGTCCGCTTGATTATCTCTATGGGTCAAATCTATCTCTAGGATACTTTATGTCAAAATGGCATCGGTAACACAATCCCAGGCCGCCACGTGTCGATGTGATCTAATTAACAACGAAGGCTGAAGTCGAGGAGTCGTCATAGATCGAGGCCGAGGTCGAATACCCTTGACAGAGTTATAACGGCTAGTTTCAAGATAAGATATTAAAGAGAATATTCTAGAGGATATTCTCTGCACTTGTATTATTAGAGTTTTTTAGGAACATGTTCCCTATAAATAGAAAGAGACACAATGATAGGGGACATGAAATATTTATTTGTTAAAGATACTTTGACTTTAGAGAGAGAAAATCGGGTCTCATCATATGCACACAAAAACAACCTTTACACTAAGATTCTTGCTTATACTTTTCCACTGGATCCGAGAATATCTCGGGCACTCAAAGGTTTATTCATCATTCTTGCTTGTCAGAAAGAATATTCATTGCTTTCATCCTTTCTCGAGTGATTCCTTTGCATTTATTTACATAAATGCTATTTATTGATGTTCATCACTATTTAATGCCACATTACTTCTATTTTGGTTCTTAACTATTGACTGTGGTGTACCGTTATAGCTTTTGGAACATATCTACGCGCTACTTATTGCACTACCGGGAATTTCTTTTTAGGATATTATAATTAACTAAGATTAACCCTAGTTGAACCAAGATCTATATTTTTTATCAAACATATACCAATCAGAGTTTTTTCCCAAGATTGACTAAGGTTAAACTAAAAAAGCTTCTTAAATAACTCATGCTCGTCTAAATGTCTGACACCAACATCCTTTTAAAACTGCTTGTCTTCATGTTGTTAGCATGTTTTCTTTGACATACAGAAGCCAAGAGAATTATGACATCCAATCTGTTTACTGCTATATTATAGGAGGGGTGCTCAAAGTTGGAGAAATACAATATATAAGTACAACAACCGACGTTTAAAAATGTCCTCTATTTGATTGAATTTTAACAGTCAAGATGTAACATNCTTATTTTGGCGCTGAGTACTTGAGTAGGGAAGGGTCTGTACTTCTACTTCTTAAAGTAATAGTCATTTCTAGGTTCTTTGCACTTCTACTTCTTCATTGAGTTGCTGAATTAATAAAACAATTGAAAGAACATAGTATAAGCTGACATTTCTAGAGTATCTTATTACGGAATTTGTTAATTATAGACGTAGCTTCTTTTTGAGTTAGCAGTTTTTTTTGGGTATATTATTTTGGTTAGCAGTGCTATAATCAGTAATGCTACTCCTTGCTTCCGATCAATTTTAATTGATTTTTTTGATTATTTTTATATATATTAAGAAATTCACTTTTTAGAACCTTAATATCTATCTTCTATCTATTACTATTAAAAAGAAAGAAGTCAGCCATGAGAATTCGTCATGTGTCGCAGGAAGAAAATGCCATGTGACAATTTTAGGACATAATTAGTTAATTTAGTTAAAATTAGTTTACTTTTTGAATTTGAATTTCAAAATAATACAATATTTATTTTTTTAACTTTTAAAAAACATAATTTACCAACAAAGAAGTTACCAAAAAAGGAATAGAGTTGAGCAAATATCATTTATAGTCACTCGGGCCAAACCTATAATATCCGGTAGCCCAAAATTATAATACACATTTTATAACCCAAAAGTAATTCTAGTGACTACCCAAAAGTACTGCTTTCTGCATCTTTCTCAGTTTCTCTGCTTACAATCTGTTGAAACCCCCTCATTTTTAACTGTAGCATTTTATATATTTGGTCTAATCTTTACTTTGGTTTTAACGTAAATCAATACTATATAATCACATGGTTATTTTTCTGGAATTTTTAGTCATGCATCATTGCGAAATTATATTGGATAGATTTCAGATTTCGTCCTCTGCATGCGCGTTTTATTGATTTTCATTTGGACTTTTTTTTAACTTCTTTTAATTTTTTACGTTAGATTATGAAATCAATAATGGAACAGTTTTGATCTAATTACAAGAGATTTAGCAATTAATGCAATAAGCATAATATAACGATTTAACAGAGCAAGAGCAACACCAAACCAACCTGAAGGAACAAATCAATTCATTTGTTATTAGTACGTATTTCCAAGAATTCAAGGGATGTTGATTTTATTTTATAAGTGGAAAAGGAAAATCATTGGCTAAAGAGAGGATCATTGGCAACCACCCTTTGAATAAAAATCCCAAGCTCTCTGTTATAGCCTTATTTTTTTTCTGGGCTAACTTTCTTTGTTAGGGAAATCTTTTGGTTTTCACCAAATAAATTTCCATTAGTGGTATGTCATTAGTTGATTTTGATGGGAATCATAATTTCAGGCCCATCATTACTATATATTTTCATGGATATTTATGTAATTTTTTCGGTGAAAATAGATTTGAATATTGGTATATTACAAAATATATACAAAATAAACTGTCATTTTACAAAAATTATGCAAAATAGACTGTTACTATACAATTTATATACAGTAGACTGTCACTATACAAAACATATACAAAAATAAACTATCATTATATATACTAAATTGAATGTCACTATATAAAATATATACAAAATAGAATGTCACTATCCAAAAATATACTAAGTAGACTGCCACTATACAATTTATATACAATAGACTGTCACTATACAAACAACGACAACAACAACCCAGTATAATCCCACTAGTGGGGTCTGGGGAGGGTATTGTGTACGCAGACCTTATCCCTACCATGAAGTAGAGAGACTGTTTCCGATAGACCCTCGGCTCCCTCCCTCCAAGAACTCCCCACCTTGCTCTTGGGGTGACTCGAACTCACAACCTCTTGGTTGGAAGTGGAGGGTACTCACCACTAGAGCAACTCACTCTTGTCCAACTGTCACTATACAAAATATATACTACATAAACTGTTACTATACAAAATAGACTGTCAATATACAAAAAATATACAAAATAAACTGTCACTATACAAAACAAAATAGATATTTCGGGCTATTAGATGCAATAAGTTTGGGCCAAAGGGCCATTTCGTGTCAGTAAAAAAAAATATGGGCTATTAAAATTTTGAGGGGTTATAAAGGGTAGTTTTCTCAATAGAATTCGGGAATAGGAAGTTACAATTGTGGAGGTTTAAAAATAATATATCAATTTTTTTACATTTTTTAAAAATTAATTTACTAACAAGGAATAAAACTTAGGAAGTTACCAACAAGGAATCAACTCCACGCGTGCCTTTCCATCTAAAATTCTAAACCCTAAGGAGTCTAAACTTCAAACAACCCCATTATCTCAATTCCTAACCCACTAATCCTTCTTTGTCGGAGTCCCAAAAACATGATTTTTCAGATCAGTTTCACAATTTTACAATATATAGTTCCAATTCTTTCTCCTTTCTTTGCATATCACTCAACAATTCTGGATTACAGGAGGTAAGTTCTATGATATGTAATTCTAGAACACTCATTAAATTTTTAGAAAGAGCAATGAATTTTTTAGTTCTTTCTTCCTTTCACTCCTTGCTTCTCTAGATTATGAACAGATATTTAACTTGAATATAGAAAAACAACAAATTTTCCAGTTCTTTCTTCCTTTCACTCATTGCTTTTCTCTTCTTTCGTTGTTATATAATTTGTTCAATAGAAAAAGTAACAGGCTACTAATAATTGCATTACAAAATCAAAGGTTTGATTTTGTAATGCAATTCTTAGTAATCTGAATTTTTTTCAATTTGGCATCAAATGGGGAACTGATTGTTTCTTGAAATGCAGTTCCAAGCTTAATCGCTTCTTCATCCATGTTAGTCCTAATAGTTTTCAAGAATATTGAGAATTAATTTAATTCTAACTTTCTCCATAAACATATGTCGATTAAATGCTAAAAATTTAATTGTGCATTTTTTTAATGTTGGAGATCCAGTGAAAGATCATAAATATTGGACAAGGCCAGAGAATATGAAAACACCACAAATTGTACTACTGATAGATCAAAATATTTGTGGAACAGAGATTGTTATTGAGACTTTTGTACCAATGACTGCTACTTCTGTTGTATTTCGCAGAACCAATCGTACATATGCCCGTCAACTTCTCAACAAAGCCAAACTGGTACTAACCCTATCCTTATTGTGTGATATTTATTTCATTTGGCTTATAAATATATGCTCATACTATTTTCTTGCTTTGTGGCTTAGTCTTTTCAGTTTGCCAAAGGCCATAAAGGAACCTATTATGGGTATGACTAAAATTTATGCACTTTGTTATAAGAAAAATCAAATTATGGTGGATGTCTACTCTTCCTCCATGATCTTTTCAAATGCTTAATGACATATTCAATGACATATTTCTATGCTTAATGACATATTTAATGACATATTTTTCTTCACTTTTCATGCCTATATAAAGGCCTTGTAATAGATAAGAAAATACACACAATTGAAGAAGAAAATCTCTTCCTTCTCTCTATCTCTATTTCTTATTCATGTGTTACTAAATTGCTTTTATTTCATAACAACATGTCTTGTTCATATTTTACTAAATTACTTTTATTTTATAACACACTTCACTATTGTTATAATTTTTAAGGTCTAGCTGTTGGAGCGAATGAGTTTCTATTTCATATACATACAACATTATAAAACCAATTTTCATCGGCGACTATCAAATTCTCCAGGCTCATTATTATAGAAAAGTTATGTTAAAATTAAGAAGGTAACTGTATAAACAAGCTCATAGTGACTTAACTTTAATATTTATCAATCTTTTTAGGATAAATTTTATTTAACCTCTAAATATTTGGGAGGAATTGATGTTTGGTTGTATTATAGAAGGTGGACTTCACTGCTTATATTGAGAAGCATGAGTTCTGTTTTGATGTTGTTCTACATGAGCATGTTACAAATGATCAGGTATCTTTTCATCATATATGTAGAAGATTTAGTTACAAAGACTGAGGCTTTATACAAAGGTTGTGCGAAAAAATTTCATAACTGATTCCGACTGCTTTTACTTTTTTTCTCAATACAAGATTTAGTTACAATGACTGTTGCTTTATACAAAGGTTTTAAAGAAAATTTTCATAATTGATTTCGACTACCTTTTTTATTCCTTCTCAATACAAGATGATTTACCACCTATTGTTTTGCAATTTAATCATATATCCACTGCTTTGCATGTTTAAAGAGCCACTATAGAACTAATTATCCCAACCATCTTTCAGCGCACAAAAGCTACATAATTTGCTTATGGCGAGACAGGTCTGTTGCATTTCTTCACATTCTTGATTCATTTTTTTTCCAGAAGCCACTTATTATTATCTTGTATTTTCTTCTTCAGGATATGAGGCAGCAGTCAAATGAAATTAGGTAGGCAATAGTAATACCTGTTATTGTGTCACAACTAGACGCCACTGTGAGGTAGATCTATTCCGTGAATATCAAATTCTCCAGCCTCAATGTTATAGAAAAGTTATGTTAAAATTAAGAAGGTAACTATATCAACAAGCTCATAGTGACTTAACTTTAATATTTACCAATTTTTTTAGGATAAATTTAATTTGACCTCTAAATATTTGGGAGGAATTGATATTTGGTTGTATTATAGAAGGTGGATTTCACTGCTTATATTGAGAAGTATAAGTTCTGTTTTGATGTTGTTTTATATATATGAGCATGTTACAAATGATCAGGTATCTTTTCATCACATACATAGAAGATTTAGTTACAAAAACTGAGGCTTTATACAAAGATTGTGTGAAAAAAATTATAATTGATTTTGTCTACCTTTACTGTTTTTCTCACTACAAGATTTAGTTACAATGACTGTTGCTTTATACCAAGGTTTTGCATAAAATTTTCATAATTGATTTCGACTACCTTTTTTTTCCTTATCAATACAAGATGATTTACCACTATTATTTTGCAACTTAATCATATATCCATTGCTTTGCAGCTTTGCAGGTTTATAGAGCCACTATAGAACTAATTATCCCAACCATCTATTAGCGCATAAAAGCTACATAATTTGCTTATGGCGAGACAGGTCTGCTGCATTTCTTCACATGCTTGATTCATTTGATTCACTTTTTTTTTTTCAGAAGTTGCTTACAATTATCTTGCATTTTCTACTTCAGGATATAAGGCGGCAGTCAAACGAAATTAGGGAGGCAACAATAATACCTCTTATGCCACAATTAGACGCCATTGTGAAGTTGATCTATTTATGTATTTTTGGATTGAGACCTTTTATGAGAATGAAAGAATACTCTTTTATTGATTATCTATATTGATTTTCTTTTGAATTTGAGACAAAAAGAATTCTCTTGGTAATCTTACGGTTTCAATTAGTTTAGTCTTCATACATTGCATCTTTTAGGAATACTGTCACGACTCGAAATTTTCCACTGACAGGACCGTGATGGCGCCTAACATTTCACTTGCTAGGCAAGCCAACGTTAGAGAATCTTTAAACCAATTTCTTATTTTCATTCAGTAAATAACAATAATTAACTAAGATGAAATATAATAAGTGCGGAATATTATAAAACTGTATTAATTACTACCACCCGCATCTGGATTCACAATTCACGAGCATTCTAGAATTTACTACAAGTAATATTCTAAAAAAAATACAATTGTCTGAATGAAAGAAAACAGTAGGACATAAAAGATAGACGGGGACTTCAAAGTCTGTGAACGCCGACAGATCTACCTTGAGTGTCCGGACAGAGGATGAATAGAAAAATCTCGATCAACCTGAGCCGGTACTAAAATCTGCACAGAAAGTGCAGAGTGCAACATAAGTACAACCGACCCCATATACTGGTAAGTGTCGAGCCTAACCTCGGCGAAGTAGTGTTGAGGCTAGGACAAGACACCCACATATAACCTAAACAATATAATCATACTAGTGGCAATGACAGTAAATAAAGAAATAACGCAAAAAAAAGGGAAGGGGACATACAGTGGGGGAATACAATATAAAGAGTGAGAATAATGAAAAGACAGAATTAAACCGAAAATCCTTAAACAAATTGAGTATCACCCTTCGTGCTTTTACTCTCAACCTCACCAAATAAATAAATAGAACGGTACGACATCATCCTTCGTGCTTTTACTCTCAACCTCACCAAATAAATAAATAGAACGGCACGGCATCACCCTTCATGCTTTTACTCTCATAATATACACGGCATCACCCTTCGTGCTTTACACTCCTCCTTACAAATCACATAATCAATAACAACGGATAGATAGGAGTATCACAAAGAAACCAGTATTTTACCCATAATCAATAGAACAATGTAACCTCAACCTTGAATCAATATTCGAAAGTTACCAAATCTCAGCGAAACCAGATATAAGTCACCCAACATTTCAAATAACCCGCCAAGCATGGATAGTAGAATTTAAGGCTACAAAATAGACAAGAATAAAATTTCACTCGCATGCTATGACTCGACAACGCCGCATAGATGCTCGTCACCTCACCTATACATCATATTTAACAACCAAACACGTAGCAAATAAACACATAATACCTATTCCCTCAAGCCAAAATTAGACACGACACTTACCTTGCTCCGAAAACCACTTAATTCTCAATCACAACTTTTTTCTTTGGAATTCACCTCCAAACCACACGTATCTATTCAAAAATGACTCAATAACATCAAATATTGCTAAAGGAATCAATTATATTTCATAAATTAAATTTCCCAATTTTTTCCCCAAAAAGTCAAAAAATCGACCCGGGTCCGCTTGGTCAAAACCCGAGGTTCGGACCAAAATCCATTTACCCATTCACCCCCGAGCCCGAATATATAATTGGTTTTGGAATCCGACCTCAAATTGAGGTCTAAATCCCTAAATTTCCGAAATTTCTAGTTTCTACCCTAACCCCTAATTCTACCATGACAACTCTAGATTTTAGGTTGATAATTCAAGTAATGTAATGGGTAATTGAAAGAAAATGGTTTAGAATCACTTACGAACACTTTGGGGAAGAAAATGACTCTTGAAAATCGCCTCCACCCGTTTGGTTCTTCAAAAATGTTGAAGAAATGGCTTAAACCCTTGTTTGATTCTGTTTTATGCACTGGGCGACAGTGTGCATCGCGTTCGCGAGGCCACTGTCGCGTTCGTGAAGGATACTGGCTGCCAAGCCTTCACGTTCGTGAGACCCTGCTCGCATTCGTGATGGTTACTCCCCCTGGCCTTCGCGTTCGTGATGGTTACTCCCCTTGGCCTTCGCGTTCGCGAGACATTGCTCGCGTTCGCGATGAAGGAACGACCAACCCTCCCCCAGGTGTGCCTAACACTACGCGTTCGCGAAGGGTAACGCCCCCATCGCTTCGCGTTCGCGACTAAGCCTTCGCGTTCGGGAAGAAGAAAACTTCAGCTGCCCAGTTTACTCTTCGCGTTCGCGAGAATACCTTTGTGAACGCGAAGAAGGACCTGCCAGAACACCTGCTGCAGCAAAATACCAGATTTTCAAAGTCCAAAACATCCCGTGGCCTACCCGAAACTCTCCCGAGCCTTCGAGGCTCCAAACCAAACATGCACACAAGTCTAAAAATATCATACGAACTTGCTCGCGCGATCAAATCGCCAAAATAACACCTAGAACTATGAATTTAGCACCAAATCAAATGAAATTCTCAAGAACACTTTAAAATTCATATCTTCTCAACTGGACGTCCGAATCACGTCAAATCAACTCCGTTTCTCACCAAATTTCACAGACAAGTCTTAATTATCACAATGAACCTGTACCGGGCTCCGGAACCAGAATACGGACCTGGCACTAACAATGCCAAACATCAATCAATTCTTAAAAATAATTAATTTTCAGACTTTTAATTTTCATCAAAAATTCATAACTTAAGCTAGGGACCTCCGAATTCGATTCCGGGCGTACGCCCAGGTCCCATAATTCGATATGGACCCACCAGGACCGTCAAAACATAGATCTGGGCCCGTTTACCAATAATGTTGATCGATGTCAAATAAAATCAACTTTTTAAGGCATAAATTCTTATTTTCATCAATTTTCAACATAAAAGCTTTCCGAAAACCTGTCCGGACTGTGCACGCAAATCAAGGAGGGTAAAACTGAGATTTTTAAGGCTTAAGAGTGCAGATTCGAGTTCTAAAACATAAGATGACCTTTTGGGTCATCACATTCTCCACCTCTAAAACAACCGTTCGTACTCGAACGAACATAGAAATGTACCTGGGCTAGTGAAAAGGTGAGAATATCTACTCCGCATATCGGACTCGGACTCCCAAGTAGCTGCCTCAATAGGCTGACCTCTCCACTGCACTCGAACTGAAGGGTAACTCTTTGATCTCAACTGGTGAACTTGCCGGGCTAAAATAGCCACTGGCTCCTCCTCGTAAGTCAAATCCTTGTCCAACTGGACAAAGCTGAAATCTAACATATGTGACGGATCGCCGTGATGCTTTCGAAGCATGGACACGTGGAATATCGGATGAACAACTGCTAAACTAGATGGCAACACAAGCCTGTAAGCCACCACTCCCACTCTCTCTAAAATCTCAAAAGGTTCGATATACCTAAGGCTCAACTTTCCCTTCTTTCCGAACCTCATTACACCCTTCATGGGTGATACCCGAAGTAACACTCTCTCTCCGACCATGAATGCAACGTCACAAACTCTACGGTCGACATAACTCTTCTGCCTAGACTGAGCTGTGCGAAGTCGATCCTGAATAATCTTGACCTTATCCAAGGCATCCTGTACTAAGTCTATGCCCAACAACCGAGCCTCTCCCGGCTTTAACCACCCAACTGGCGACCGGCACCGCCTACCATATGATGCCTCATAGGGATCCATCTGAATGCTCGACTGGTAGTTGTTATTGTAGGCGAACTCTGCAAGGGGCAAGAACAGATCCCACGATCCTCCGAAGTCTATAATGCATGCACGGAGAATTTCCTCCAAGATCTGAATAGTGCGCTCGGATTGCCCGTCTGTCTGAGGATGGAATGCTGTGATCAACTCAACTCGCGTACCCAACTCACGCTGTAATGCCCTTCAGAAGTGCGAGGTGAACTGCGTACCTCGATCAGAAATGATAGACACGGGCACCCCGTGAAGACGGACGATCTCACGAATGTAAATCTCTACCAACCGCTCCGAGGAATAGGTAACTGCCACAAGAATGAAATGCGCTGACTTAGTCAGCCTATCCACAATGACCCAAACTGCATCAAACTTCCTCTGAGTCCATGGAAGTCCAACAACAAAATCCATAGTGATACGCTCCCACTTCCACTCAGGAATCTCTATCTTCTGAAGCAAACCACCAGGTCTCTGATACTCGTACTTTACTTGCTGATAATTTAGACACCGAGCTACATATACAACTATGTCTTTCTTCATCCTCCTCCACCAGTAATGTTGCCGCAAGTCCTGATGCATCTTGGCGGCGCCCGGATGAATAGAATATCGGGAACTGTGGGCCTCCTCAAGAATCAACTCACGAACATCCACATTAGGCACACAAATACAACCCTGCATCCTCAAAACTCCATCATCTCCAACAGTAACCTGCTTGGCACCACCGTGCCGCACTGTGTCTCTAAGGACAAGTAAATGAGAATCGTCATCCTGCCGATCTCTGATGCGCTCAAACAAAGAAGACTGAGCAACCGTACAAGCTAGAACACGGCTGGGCTCAGAAATATCCAACCTCATGAACTAGTTGGCCAAGGCCTGAACATCCAATGCAAGCGGTCTCTCACTAACTGGAATATATGCAAGGCTACCTATACTGACCGACCATCTACTCAAAGCATCGGCCACCACATTGGCCTTCCCGAGATGATACAATATGGTGACATCATAGTCTTTCAATAGCTCCAACCACCTTCTCTGCCTCAAATTGAGTTCCTTCTGCTTGAACAAATACTGCACGCTCCGATGATCCGTGAATACCTCACATGGCATGCCGTAAAGATAGTGCCTCCAAATCTTCAGTGCATGAACAATGGCTGCGAGCTCTAGATCATGAAGATGGTAATTCTTCTCGTGAACCTTCAACTGCCGCGAAGCATAGGCAATAACCTTGCCACCCTGCATCAACATCGCACCCAGACCAATATGAGATGCGTCACAATATACTGTATAAGATCCTGAACCTGTGGGTAACACCAATACCGGTGCCATAGTCAAAGATTTCTTGAGCTTCTAAAAGCTCGCTTCACACT